AACTGTGTACATTGTTGCCTCAACGCCTGTAGCTACATCCTCATTTTGGAGGATAGTCTCTGTTGCGGATTAAGATGGGATCTATTCTGAACATCACCTTACTAGAGAGGGTGAACCACGCCACCATCTTTTGTTTCCTTGGGAGTACTAAAGACAAAAACCACATCCACAGAAGAGAGCTCTCTCAGAAGCTGAAAAAGTGAGAATCCCGGGACCATCAAGGAAAAAGAAACCAACAGACCATTTTCAAGACCCCTCCTTGTTTGAAGTGGTGAAAATATTTAGAAAATGTGACCAATTTTATCCTAAAATCTGCACTTAGGTAAATATTATCATTTAACACATTCATTTGCTCAAATGACATGTTTATTTTTTGTGCAAAAAGTAGACTAAATGATGAGATATGTGAATGGGAAACAGCAGATTCAGAACATGTTTGAAAGCACTTTTAAGACTCAGAAAATGAAACAAAAGGTTATAAAAAATTCATTACTTTCATAATTCTTAACACAAAAATGCATATATGTATTATCGTGGTATTTAGAATGTGCGTTTTAAACTGTACCTGTTTTGTTGACTTTTTCGTGCCATTAAAAATCTTCCAAGCTAGCCCACTGCCCCCACTGGCAATGTGTCGACCAACATCGAACTCCCTGGTGACCGGATTTCCCATGACAGCACTGGTGACGTCAGCCGTCACTTTCGTGACAGTACTCTTCAACTTATTAAGCATGGACTCCATGGCTGCAGTATCAGGTAGGAGCAGTTACCTAAAAGCACATGGGGATAGGGAGAACTGAGAATTTGTTTTGACACACGAAAGATTCGTTATTTAATGTGAAAATGTTAATTTCCCAAGCAATGAGCAAAACAAACCTATACAGATAAAAGCCAACTGCAGAGTTTATCATTAGGTAATTGAACATAATTGACTGTGAATTTAAGCCGAGGAATCAAATTGCTTGACCAGAATCAAATCTCATAGCCCAGAATGAGAAGACACGGGCATTGATTCACCCTGACACTCACATGAAGAGAATGACCTTTTGCTCAAATATATAACACACTGTCAAAGGTTTAAAATAACATGGCCAGTATTAAGTCTCACTTAACACTACAAATAGCCATGTACAATCTGATGCTAATCTAAAGAATCCATTTTTTAAATTTAACTATTATTCATTATTAAAATAATTACTGTGTAACAATGAAACCCTTTGAGGTAATTTCTAAAAGAAAAGTAAAAATGATGGCAAAGGCACAATGCACAAACACGCACAAACATCAAGCAATAAAGCATTTTAAAAGTTTTACACCTCTTTGCTCTTAATGGTTAGTACTGTTCTTAATAATTATTTATTGTTAATAATTGGTAATTTATTATAAGCTTAATGATCAGTAGCTATTTTTGAAGATTAGTAATTGTTAGGTTTAGTGTTTCTCCTTTTGGTAAATTAAGAGAGATTCTACTTTTGATGATGTC